GTCATTTAATGATATATTATAATAAAAAAGTTCAATCCACATGAGTTACAACGACAAGCACAAAACATGAAACCCAAAGACACAAAATACATAGAGAAATCTTTGCCAAAATATACAAAGCACTAAAACAGAGAAGAAAGAGGATTTTATTAAAGAGGAAAGCATTGTCATCCTTCCCAAGCTCAAACCATAGAGCCAATAGCACACCCACAATCAAAGCCAAAGATCAAGAAGTAGCCAACTCTGAGCCAATAAACATAAGCAATGAACATAACCTAAACCTTTAGGCACACCCAGAAGAAACATGGACGACCAAAACGCTGCTCTAGAAGCACCTTAACCAGCAAACAGAGAAGGCGGACAAGAACGCAGGGGAAAAAGGCAACACAGCAAAGAACCAACGATCAAGTAGCCTTACCATAGACACCAGGAAGCAGAGACAACAGCGACGCCAAAACAATAATAAAATGACCACCGAGTCCAAACCAAGTCCTGCAACCAAACAAACGCATAGACCACTACAATCGCTTGAGGTAAAAACTAGCACATCTCTTCGACCAAAAGAACCCTAACTCACACAAGTCGTACAGAACACAATACTACAATCTCCACAACTAGAACGCAAAAGAGTCAATGAGATCAAACCCAAAGCTAGAGATGAATCAACTAATCCGATGAGCCAAAAGCATAAGAAACCCAATGCTCACAACACCATCAAACCACCACCAAACAAACCAGAGGACCGAGGGGAGAAAATCTGAACCACACAAGCTAGACTTCAACAAATACACACGGCTCACCTCCCATCCCATAGCAAGAAGACCGAAGCGAGACCAACCGCAAACCGAGATCACGAACCCAGCCAAACCGGCTAACACAGATCTAACCAGACCCGTTCTCGACCAAACCCCGGAACAACGACTCCTCACACAAAGCAAATCCCCAACCAAATCGAAATCACCAAAAACCTTGTAGATCTCATGAATCCACATCTAGCCATAGAAACCCTCTAATAAGCTAATACCAACCAAAGGAGATATCAAAACAACAAAAAGGAAGGGTCCGGAGGCTATGGAAGCTGCCGGCCACCGGACCAAGATCGAAGAATTTTCGAAAGGGGTACTGTAGCAAGCAACGACGGCTTAGGGTTCTGTATCGAGAGCTTTATTTTTCGAAAAGGAGCAAGAAAATTTTGTTATATATATTTTTTAACATTAAAACCAACAAAAAAAAAACTTTGTTATATATATATTTTTTTCATTTTGGAATATTTATTCAACTAAACATTTGAATATTTACTTGTCATTCCAAACACTTAACATCTCGTAAAGAAAAAAAAATCATGGGATTAAGAGAATTTTATTATGGGACAAACACAAGTAATAAATTTCATAACTTCCAAACTATTATCTGTTTTCTTAATGTTTGTATGATTAAAAGTCATAGTTTATTAAATTTAACGTGTCTACTACCTACCCCAAAATTTTGTTGGAGGTGGAGTGAATTTGTCAACAATTATGGTAAAGTTTGCCAATTAGAGTCCAGTTTTACCAACTAAGCAGCCCCTGATATAAATTGTATCTGGTAGTGACAGTTTTAAAAGTCTAGTATATGTGATTGTGAAACTTGCCATTACAAAACTAAAATCATAAGTAAGCATTTAATAAAATAGTTGATTATAAACAATAAATAACGATTAACGAGTAATTAAAAAACCTCCAAGATATTAAATGAAAGAGATCCAAGAGGACCAAGACATGTGTCTCTCTTGCGAATGTGTCACGTCAATAAACGGAACAATTGTCAACGTTATAACGCGTCAACGACGGATGGGCAAAATACACGAACCCGACTCTAGCCAAGTACAGTACAACAATTTGGCTCGTTAGGTTCTTGTACAATTTATTAAGACGGACCTACACTTTTTTCAAGATATGGAGAATTTGTGTGGCATGAGCTCGTTGAATGGATCCTTGGTTGGGCCTTTTGGTAACTTGTTTGGGTCCAAGGTAGCCTCTTTCTCTTCCTGAATTCAGAGTCTTAATATTGAGGATCTTGAGCTCTAAATAATTGCAAGTCATTTCAAGTAACAAAGCCACACAACGAAAATCACGAAACAAAGCAAGTAATGTAACCTGAAATCGCTGCTAGTTCAAAACGGTGCGACCCATCAGAATTCCTCTAGACTCTAGTGGTGAGAGGATAAATACAAATCTGACAATCCAAACAAAAAATCATAAGCAATAGACAATGCAAAATATAGCATACAATGCAAAATATAGCTTACACTGAACCGGGCCTATATGGTTTAGTGAACCCGGTTTAATTAATGCAAACAAAACTTTCGAACC